GAGAGTTCCCAAATGGCAACCGCCGGAGCCCTTGGGGCTCGATCCAAGGGCCATCATAGATGCCAGTGGAGACGAAAGAGGACGTTTCCATCCTGCCGGTCTAATCAATTTGATGTCTAATCATGTCAATCGGGGAACGCTCTGCAAATTGATGTGAATTGTCTCCGTTGCACCACGACGCTACACCATATCGAGTAGAATGCAAAAACTACGCTATTCATCAGCACAACGGACAACTCTATCAATCTCTCGATCCTTCCCGGTTGAATAGTCAGCAAGGACGCTACTAGGGGGGGCCTTACTACTAGGAGCAAGGACGCTACTAGGGGGGCCTTACTACTAGGAGCAAGGACGCTACTAGGGGCTCCTGGCCTTACTACTAGGAGCAAGGACGCTACTCGGGGCTCCTGGCCTTACTACTAGCTAACATTGTGTTTGTCTTGAGAAGTTGGCAGCGTGTCACAAAGGTCTTCTTCCTCCCGAGCTTCTTCGGCGATTTTGGACTTGTCGGGGACTGCACAGGAAGCTGGCAGCTAGCACTTCTCCATCGATGAACGTGATGAAGGCTGTGAGATAGTTCAGTTTGTTTGTGGCACACAGCTTTTCTTGCGATGCTTCACTCGTGATCCGACCTCCTGTGCTTGACGCTCTGCCGCCAGCTTTTGACCAATCCTGAGTACTCATGACATCACAGTCACATCGCATCCAAATGTAGCGGGTTCCGTCTGAAAGGATGTGTCTCTGCCGTATTCAGCTTTGGACTTTTCCTGGATCGCCCTAGCCAAATCGCCTGCACCTCCTGAGCCTCAGTCGCAAGTCTGCTTGAAAGTCGCTGAGCAACCTCTGCGACAGTCTCTTTCAATGAACTGCGGGACTGATCTGTTCTAGTAACATCTAGACACATCTAATTCTGATCGTCTGATAGTATAGAAAGCTTTAATTCCTATGAAGCTGGCTTCAGCTTGGGTTCCCGGCTGGCAGTCTCGCTGCCGGCTTCCTGTTTGCAAGCTTCCATGATTTGTATTGTCACATGTTGTGCCAAGCAGCTTGCCACATTTAGATCATTAAACATATGTCCACCTTTGGATCATTGTGGATCCACATACAAAGAGTCAGACTCACAATAGCACAAGTGGTGACATCACAGCATGCCGGGGGATAATGCAGCTACATCTCTTTATATATTACTATATCATCTTTTCATATCTTTTCTTTATTGAGCCCGACTTGAGCGGTGTTCGAAGGCCTTTGCATGCGATTGCCATACCCTTTTTGAGATGTGCCATCCGCCTTGGCGTGTGCCTGCTTGAGGCGCATGACCTCATCCGCCTTGGCGCGCATGGCCATCTCTACTCTCAGCTGGCCAATGGTCCTGGGTGGAAGATCACATCGACGCTTCGTGTCGGTCATGTGTGTCTGTCGGGAAGGAAGATTTGCCGATTCATCGCGACAAAATGGTGCGAAAGTCTCTTTGCGTGCCAAAACCGCTGTGAAACTGCCTTGAGTTAAAAAGGAGCTGAAGTACAATGCCAGCAATCTCAACCATCCAGCATCCATCAGCATCCAAAGCTCAACTGGTGTGCATTGGGTACTCCTCATGTCTTTTGATCGATTTCACTTCCTGTTGACAGGCTCGGCTGAGTGCAAACAGGGCTCTTTGTCAAACGATTGCAGGACGATTCCTGCTGAAGGCCTCGGTCACCCGAACAAGTTCAAGTTTCAGCTCAAGCATGTAAGACTTCTGTCGGAAGTTTAGCTACCAGCTACCTTGGATCTTTGAAGAGCAAAAAGCACAGTGAGATGGATGTGAAGATGAGAGCATTGCTCTTTGCTTGCCGAATCTTTTAGCTTTGCAAGTATATAAGCTTCCCTGCGAGATACTTTGGATTTGGACTTCTTTCTTCTAACCTCGGAGACCAATAAAATTTGCCACAGGTTTTTGAAAGCACAACAGAACGAGCATACGGCATATCAGAGCTAGGTATCGGACCCGTGGAGTGTCTTGAAGGACGTTTTCATCGTCAAACTGTCAGGCAGTTTGGTGAGTTCGCTGCAAACAGGATGCTCAAAGCCGGTTCAAAGAGTGGATGATCGTTAGCATCACACATTGGAGCTTATTTTCAGACCTTGCTCGTCTTTTTTGTTTTCAACTCACATAAATTGATATAAACCAACGAACGCTCCTTGCAGTGAGAACGCAAGGTAGAGATCTCCTTATGGAGGGAGCGGAGGGACGGAGGGAGTGTGAAAGTGTGGGGAAAAGTGTAGGAGTCGACTATCCATTCCAAAAGCCACGATAGATATGATATATATATAGTTATAGCTGTTATAATCTTTATTTTTGACCGTTCCTTCTTAACTTAATCAAGGGAATAAGGAAAACACTCCTAGTTAGCTTCTAGTAACTGGACGCAGGATAGCTCACACACTAATGATTTGGTCTTAGAAAAACTTAACTCTATATAAAATATATACTATATATACATATACTGTACTAAGAAAAGGTAAAACAAAGGGCGCTTGGAGCCTAATATATACAGAAATTGTTATATTATATATAAACGAGTCTTTTCTTTCCTCAAAATTGACAGAATACCACCGATCTCGCTGGGAGCCCAAGCGAACTCGGTCTGCCGCGCAGTGTTGGAGTAAAGGCCCCCAATGAGGGCACCATGGCGATCTGAGCAAAGTGAATACTGTTCCTAGTAGTAATGGCCTCCAACCTACTAGCGATGGCCTCCAACCTGGAACCTAGTAGCTTCTTGCTTAGTATGACTTATCAACTTTTCAATTTAATTACGCTCCAAACAGGAACAACACGACTGGTGTTGAATGTTCAATGTCCTTCTCAACGTTGTCAAAGCCTGCTTCCATGGTCCGAAGAGCTCGAGGCCTCGTTTGGTCACCTGAAAGGAAAGGAACGGCAGATTCTGCAACAAAGTTCCACTTTCGGGCCTTTGCATTCTAACGAAGGCCATCCTGGAACAAGCTCTAACTTGAAGTCATGATTGAGTCGTGTATATCAGCTGCTGCACTGCTGGTACACTGTGTGAAACGTCTTTTCAAAAGGTTGCTGGGGCAGGTAGGCACATGTGCTGGGAAAGGGACAAGGACTTGGGTTTATAGTGGCAAGATGCAGTTCTGCCTTGAACCTCACATATCAATCTACCCTGCCTTTCTTGAGCCGTGAATGGGCAAGGGCACTAGAAGCACCCAACAAACCATCAATGTGACAGGTGACAAGTCAAAAGAAACGACGGCTAAACAGGATCAAGAAAGCAATTAATTTGCCTTTTCAATTCCAGTCCGTGCATGGAATTGAACAGTGAATTAAATTTTCAGCTGCAGCATTTCTGCTGCTGCCTACCTGGCAGTACACCAGTGAAGAGCTTCAACGATATGTTACACTCCGTAGGATTGGCTTCTGGGCTGAATTTAGCAGCAAAAGCAGGCATTGGAGCAAAAGCAGCACGATTTAGCTGGTCTGCTTGCACGAAAGAAACTCCCAGAAATCAGAACTTATGAAGAGTGCTTGCAGCATGCTTCACCAAGGATGTATGAAATCGACATTCCACACATTCTGCCACCCTTCCAGCATATTATGCAAGTTGGATTTGTGGGGCAGGAGACCCTTTTGGAAGAGCTTCAACCAAGGAAGGACACAGCACTAAACAATAACCTCTCGTCTTAGGTCAGGGAAAGATGTCTGCTACAGTACCATCTTTGGTCTCCAAGGCCCCTTCGAACTCGCATCAGTCAACGTCCGGCTCCAGTTTCTCCTCACGGAAAGTTTTACAAGGGGGCATCTTGACTCCTTCCTAAGTGCCATGAGTGGTCTGCGAAGAAACATGAAGAAACCCGTTTTAGAGGTATGCTTGACATGACATGTTTCAACTTTGTCGTTGTGACCCGTTGACTGCGTTCGGGACATACTTTGGATGGTCCACAGCGCAGTATCATCTTGTCACCTGACAATTTCCTTACTGAAAACTCTGTCTCTCTCTCTCTCTCTCTGCGAACTCGCATTGTATGACAATTCAAGCATCGTTCATGAAGCAGCTGAAATTTCCAAGGTCAACAAGTTTCTTAATCCTTATTTAGTATGCTTTCAACAAAGAAGCAATGGCATTGCATGTTGAGCAAAGCTTTCATTGTTCAATCTTGCCTGCTAAGTGATCGCGTTGACCGGGCCGTTGCAATCCTGTGCGACCAGAGTTCCCCGTGATTGGCCTTGGATTGGTTAATGGGTCGGCGCAAAAGGCTGTCATTTCCAAGCCATGAGAAGCCAACAAACCTTCTAGAAGAGAAGTCTCTAAGGTTTGGACCACACAGCTGCCCGCCATTGAACTCCACCCGGCCTTATGGGGCTTTTCACCATGCTCTGAAAGTCCTTTTGCATATTGTTTGCGTTAGGGATGTTGAATTCACCTCCTTCGGAGTGTGTACCACTGAGAGAGCTGCCGTGCAACTGGTAGGACGGGGCTCTGAATCTCAACCATCTTTGCTGCTTCTTGGAGCCTGTAAGCTTTGGATGAGGGCTGCTGGGACCACATGGCCTTCGGCGGCCTTCGGTTCATCTTTTGCTCCAGTTCCTTTTGCCCCAAGCACTGTTCGGCTCAAGCTAGGACCCCAACCTTTCTTCCGCAGTGAGCACATCAGGCTTCTTCTCAACTCCTGCTGCAACTGAGTATATTGAGCAAGTTTCAACTGAGATTCGAAAGATTCTGCAATTGATAGGCCTGGCATGGAACGCCTGCGTGGCGGTGGCGGTGGCGGCGGTGTCGAGTCGCCTGCAAAAGAAAGAATCACAGTCGGCCTGCAAAAGAATGAATGACAGTCGGCTGTTGGCAGAATTTGACAGGGCCATGCGTAACTCGCTCTGAGATTCAAGCCAAGATAAGCAATTTTTCATGCAAATCTCAAAGTCTTTTGCTTTGCTTTTGCATAAACGAGGAGCTAGAAATATGACTTTGCAAGCTCCCCTCAAAAGGACATCTCACTTATGGAGAAGTTGCGCCTTCCAAAAGGCTCAGCAAGCATGAACTATCCCACACAGCCTCTCTGAAGCAAAACTGGATCGGGCCAAAGGACTGGACAGAGTTGGCAGCTTTGCCTCTGAAGCCCACGAGGACGCAATTGCTCTCGATTTTGAAGTCGTTCTCCTTCTTCGCGACACCTCTTTTGCTGCCGCCACCTAGGACCATCTCGTCCTTGGTCCAGAACTCGAGCCTTTGGAGGGGGCTTCCTCCAAGCGTCCAAGCTTTCACCTCTGTGATCTTGTCGTTGCCGTCCAAGTAGCTAATCTCAAAGGATTTCGGGCTCTTGGTTCCGCCGCCAAAGCAACTTGTTTCGTCTCGGCCCGAGGTTTTGGAGAAGGTGGTGCAGAGCTTATGGACGACGCCTCCTGTGTCGCCGCCCGCATACAAATCTAAATAATCCATCCTGGTTTGGTCATACTTGGCTGCGACTGGAGTCTCTTCGGGCACCTGGTAATTCGTGCCAAGGTTTGTTCCCTTGATGTCATTGGCCTTCCACTCCATATACATGCACGGGCTTCCAAGCTCCAGGGACGGCAACAGCGGCTGCACCACCGGCTTGATGGGGTCACCCCTGTAAGAGTTGAATGCTTCCCTTATGCTTGCCATGTCGGCATCTAGCTTGGCCAAGTTTGTGTCCAACGTCGTGTCTGTGAACGTGGGGTTTCTGATGCCGAAGTACCGCTTGTACGTATTTTGGATGCTTCTGGCCATGTCTGCTGAGGGGCTCAATTCATTGTACCGGTCAGAGAGGTCCTGCAGCACACGCAGATTTGTGCAAACCTGGTTGAAGGCACTTGTGCCCAGCTCCGGGACCTCGTTGTAGCACTTCAAGGAAAGATCAATCCTTGGGACAAAACATTTGCTTCTACATGTTCCTACCACCCTTCTTTCACATCTCTAAACATCTCCAATGTCCAAATCCCCGTTGGTTGTCTGGCTGACCCTGACAGTCTAGATTCATAAAGATCCCCAGGGCGGAGAAAACCAGTGGGGGAGTTTAACGAAGTCCTGTATCCAGAGGTTTCCTCCAAACAAACTCCGAACGAACTCTGCACTTACTGCAATGTTACTCCGATGAGAAAATTGATGAGTGACTTTTTTTATTGCGCCAGGTTTAGGTATCAAAGGCATTCAGGTGTGTTGCGCCATCTATGCGCCCCGTGGCTTAAAAAAAGGACGGTTCTCCATGATTATGCGCCCTATGTTGTAGAAAATAGCGGAGATTGGGCCGCGCCATCTTTTGGGCCTCCGTAAGAGGAAATCAAAAGGAATCAAAAGGACATTATATAATAGGATTCAAAAGGAAATCAAAAGGACATCAAAAAGAATTTAAAAGGACTCAAAACGAAATCAAAAGGAATCAAAAGGAAATGAATAAGTCCAAGAGGAAATCAAAAGGAATCAAAAGGAAATTAAAAGGAATCAAACGGATATCTAAAAGAAATCGAAAGGAAATTACTGTAAACAGAAATCAAAAGGACATCGCAAGGACATTAAAAGGAAATCAAAAGGAACATAAAAGGAATCAAAGGGACAATAGTAGGATTCAAAAGGAAAGCAAAAGGAATCATAAATGTGCAGAACTTGGCCATTGGGCCATCTATAGGCCCCAAACATCCCCAAACGTTGTTTTTTTAGTAGGGAAAACTAGTAACCGCACAAACATCCCGCATAATTTTAATTTTCTGCACTCCAAAGACCAGTTGCGCCATCTATGACGGCCAAATAGCGAGAAAAAGCAAATACATGGCGCGGCTGTTCCCACTATTTTGTTTTTTGAGTTGTTGCGCCAACAACTTTCCAAACGGTGTAATCATTTTCTTGGGGTTCCATTCCTGCCCTCTGATGCCATTGACGGACATGGCTGTGATGAATCCCAGTTCTATTTGTGCTACTCTTCCCTTCTAGGATTTCGCTTCTAGTGGTTCTCACTCTGATGGCCAGGCCCCGATAAGCACCCACACACCACAAAGCACCTTTTTTGGCACTTTTGACACATGATTGGGAACCTTTTTTGAGTTGTGGACTTTTGGTCACGTTTGGGATCGGCGTAAATTTGTCAGTTTACTGTCATCTCTTTTACACAGCTCCGGAGTTTTGGCCGATTTGGATCAGCATGCACTCACAGTCTCCTTTCCAGCATGGAATGGATTGAGTGGATTGATCTGTGCTTCTGCGCCTAGGACCCGACGGCACTGCAGGTTTAGGGTTTTACATGGAGTCTGGCCGGCCCAAAAAACTGCCATCAACCAATCAAGTTGGGATTTCATTCCTGCCATTTTGCTGAGCCTTTGTGTTTTGTTTTAGGTGGGAGTTAATTCCTTTATGTTGTAGATTCACCTGTTGCTCTGTGGCATGCAATGGTTCATGTGGCAGTGTGATTGAAGAGTGCCAAAGTGCTGTGGTGTCGCAGGCGCCTGGGCCACCTGGTGCTGGGGGTTCTGACCTAGTGCTTCGCCGGGTTTTGCCCTATCGCAGCTCCTTGCAGCCATTTAAAACAACCTGAAAATGAGCGCTTGGATCATGCTTACTGTGGGATTCTGATCCTGGATGCACAATCATTTCGTTAGGCGAGGACCCCTGGTGTAGAAAGGGGCGGGGGTTTGCAAGAAGCTCTGCAAACATTGTAAACCGATAACCTACACTTCAGAACAATAACAGTAGGTGTTTCCGAAAGCCTGGCCTGAAAAACCACCCGTGAGCTGGGCCGTAAGTGCAGGAACAACACTTTACAGGAATGAAGGAGCTCTTATAACATCCTGAACCCTGAGGTAGTCCGTCGAGTCATGTTTGTCTAAAACATAAACTCCTGTGCCTGCACCTTTATGACATCCTGTACCATGATGTCTTATCATGTCTTATCTTATCCTGAATTGCAAATTCCAATCTATTGCCATATTGCAAACAAACCTCCGCGATCCCCCGAGTACAGGATCTTGTGAAGGAGTAACAGACCGGCTTCTTCAATAAAGCCGAGGAGCACTGTGGGGCTGTCAAGGTCTCGGCCCTGAAAATCCAATGCGAACTGCACCATGTTCTCTGGGCCTGGCCCAGTGATGTCAGCACCGATCACCTTTTCTTGGTACTCCCACTGCATCTCGGTCTCCTTCTGAACCTTGTTCATGGCAGTGTTCAGCGTGGAGTTCACAGACAAGGTTCCGGCAAAAACGCCATTGGCCCTGAGGCTGTTCTCGACGGTGGTTCTTTCCTCTTTTGTTTTTGTATAAAAAAATGTACACAGCCATGAACTCACCACCAATGTTGACGGAATCGACAAACTTGTCGCCATACGTGTTGTAGAACCTCTTAAAGGTGGAGTTTCTCGGGATCTCAACATCCTCTTTCACAACAATTGGGGTAGATGGGTCGGTGACCTTGTGATCCGATACCTGGTACGAACGAACAGCCACACTGATGTAAGTCTCCTTCACCTCGAGATCTTGATACCACTTCATCTTGTCTGATATTCCATCCTTGAGAAAGGTGACGGAGAAATCCATCTCAACGCTGAGGGCTGTCTCCAACTCGGTCGTTGATTTTGTGACCTTGACGTAGGCGTCAGATGCCTTATACCCGGATGACTTCACTTTCCCCTTGAGAGCTGTCGATCTCCTATTATCCCCTTCGGTAGAGGCGTAGCCCTGCAAAACCTCGACATCTGTGTCTGCTTTGACAGCCTTCTGCATGGACACCGGCTTGGAAAGAACCAGGAAGCTGGTGCTGTCACAGTTGTCGTTGCAGGCATCCTGGCCACCTGGAACTGGAACGCCTGCTGCGCCAACACTCACAAGGAGCAGGGATATATGAAACCACCCTGCAAACATTGCATTGGCGCTCGGGCACTGCTAACTATAAGATCTATAAGCTGTGCTGAGCCTGTTCCACCTGGCAACCACCATGCATCTCGTCACACGAGCAACCATTCACCGACGTGTGACGCAAAGGTGAGGATGGACGTTCCGAAGCCACCCCCTGCGTGCTGCCGCGAAAGCCTCCCCTACCTCCACATGACATTAAGCCGGGGATGTCGCTCGCTGTGAGGTTTAGGGGCTAGGAACTTCTTCAAGGATGTGATAGGATGTGTCTGCAGGTTTCAGATTCGTGGGAAGTAGTACGTTGCAAGCTTCCTGTCAACTCAAACAGTCACTGTCCCAAACGATCTGATGCCTTCTCGTAGAACGCCGTTCGTGACCTCTTTGGGCACGTCCAGTGGCTGAGTGGATGCTGGCGATTGCCTAGGAGTCTCACAGCTCTGTGGGTCTTTGGGGTTCAATGCAAACTCAAGAGCGCCCCTAGTAGCGTGTTTGCTCCTAGTAGTAAGGTCAGGAGCCCCTAGTAGCTTCTTGTTCCTAGTAGTACGGCCAGGAGCCCCTAGTAGCGTCCTTGCTCCTAGTAGTAATGCCAGGAGCCCCTAGTAGCGTCCTTGCTCCTAGTAGTAAGGCCAGGAGCCCCTAGTAGCTTCTTGTTCCTAGTAGCGTCCTTGCTTCTAGTAGTAAGGCCAGGAGCCCCTAGTAGGGTCCTTGCTCCTAGTAGTAAGGCCAGGAGCCCCCAGGAGCTTCTTGTTCCTAGTAGTAAGGCCAGGAGCCCCTAGTAGCGTCCTTGCTCCTAGTAGTAAGGCCAGGAGCCTCTAGTAGCTTTTTGTTCCTAGTTGTAAGGCCAGGAGCCCTTAGTAGTGTCCTTGCTCCTAGTAGCAAGGCCAGGAGCCCCTAGTAGCGTCCTTTCTCCTAGTAGTAAGGCCAGGAGCCCCTAGTAGCGTCCTTAGAATTCTTAAGAAATAACGCATCAATTGACTTTTAAACACAAGCACACAAGCAATCTGATCCTCCTGCACAGCTGTACGTTTGCAAGAACATGCAACAACGGTATTGGGTCCTGACTGCTCGCGGCCATCCCTGACCTGGACAACAGCTCTGTTCAAAGGGCTTATTTCATGTCTTTTCAGCATTCTCCAGCCACCACATGTGGAATTTTGGTTTCTGCCTGCACTTCATATCTGCCTTTGAACGTGTCCTCAAAGCGCATCGACTACGTTAGCTGCATGTTAACTTGTCAACCATCCTTTAAAAAACTCTCATTGTACTCCAAAACCTCCTACCTCATCTGAAGCTCGGCCTTGTTGTTGGGTCTGAGCACTGCTTCGGGTCCACCCTGTCCAGCTGGTTTTCCCACACCAGGGCCAGCATGAGAGAAAGTCTAATTCGCAAAATCCGAGCGCAAGCCAAACGTCTCATTTGACAATGTGCAGCTCCAACTCAATCGGGGCCCAGGTATTTCCAGTCAGGGACAGGCTTCATTCTACTAGCAATGGCCTCCAACCTAATAGCGATCCAACCTAATAACGATGGCCTCCAACCTCTACTACATTTCTTGTTTTTGGCCGCGCCCCAAGACACCCGAGGATCAAGCCAAAAGTGGAACAGTGCCGACACTCGCGTGATCACCTGACCGGGGCTTGGACACGACCGGCGACTCTGTTCAAGCTTTGTGTCATGGACATTCTCATTCGTGGAACCAGCCTATGAGTCTTGGAGAGTTACATTCTGTCTGAATGTGTCTGACTTCTTCATGCGGCTTGCAAGTGGCAGTCGCACAAATTATGAAAACAAAGACAAGGCATACTGGGAAATACTGAGAAAAGCCACGCCTTTGGAAGCCGACCCAGAGTGAGACAATGCAACCTGCAAAAGCATGACACCGTCCCCCTCGCTTTGCCTTGAGCCTACTTCAAGCTTGGGCTGCTCTAAGAGGTGAAAAAAACGAAGGTAAGGCCATGCCAGGTCCGCTACACATACATAATATAAAGTAGTCTTCATGTATCTTCCATTGTGCATTCTATCTGTTTACAATTACTTCATATTACAGTACTTCCAAGATCGTGTGGATCTAATCACTCAATGAGACTCAAGCCTTCTCCCGCCACGCAACGAGGACTCGCCGCAGGAACGCGGAAGCCTGGTCAATGGGCGGACATAGCTGTGCCCAAAGCCGATTGTGCCATGCAGTCTCCTCCTGCTTGCAAAGACAGCACAGTCCCTGCCTTTTTTTCCGCCGCACAGGTGTGTGGTATTGGCTCCGCAGGGTCTAGCAATATCAGGAGAAATCCCTTCCGGGTCTGTGGAGAGTCTTTGGACATGACGCCTCACTTTAGCTTCTTGTTTCCAAAGTCTTCAATGACTTCTCCAGACTTGGGATCTCAAGTTCATTCTGCAGACCCTTTGGGTCAAAATACCATTGAGACATCTTTACATACCTTGTGCTCGGCATATTCGCCCCAGGAAGAGTGACTTGTGCGAGCCGACAAAGCCACATCTCAACCGAGGCATGATTGCTGTACAACTATACACCGAAAATAGGTCAAAATAGTTACGACCAATGGTTCGTGATTATGGGTGAGAATCCCTTTCAGGGATATGCAGTGGCTTGTAATATCCCACAAAGCTCACGGCTGCATTCATGCTTTCTATGCCTCAATTTTTAAGATACAAACTCTTTCCGGGCTTGGCGTGCTTGGTGAACTAGGACAAATTCTGTAAACATCTTCCAAGGCGGAGCAAGATAAACAAACACTATTGATATAAATGAAGTGACAAAGACCATTGCTATTGCTCTCAGTAACATTACACACATCCAGAAATCAAACAGCAGCAACACCCAAATACTTCGAGGCACATTCAAGCTGATTCCTTCTGCACTGGTGGAGGACTTACTACCTATCAGTCATTGGCGTCTGTCTTTATTTACAAAGAATTCCAATATATTCCAATATTACCAGAACCTACGAAACACCTGAATGGAAATTCTCTGGGCAAGTGCGTGTGGCACCATATGTCTGCTGCAAAACTGAGGTCTGCATCACCCTCAAAGATTGGCATCGGAAGAACAATATATAGTCTGTCTCAGATGGCTCACAAATCAATGGATCTCCCAGTTCTTGCTGACTCCGCCTTGAGTGGGTGCAGGCGTTCTTGCTGCGTGCTTGACAATGGGGAACTGTGACATTACTACTTTAGAAGGCAAGCGTTCTTGGGTTTCTTGGGTGGTTCCCGGTCAGACTTGACCTGGAAATTCAAAAGTATAGGATACATGACAGCGTGCCTGGCCACGCAGCTTCCTCCACCTGAGTGCACTCAGCTCCTATCCTACCAGTAGTTGTGAGGTCCTTCTTCTGCAGGGCACATGTTGCTGTATCGAACGGGGCCGGAAACAAAGCCCTGGCAAGCCCTGCTAGTTTAATCTGCAAGGCCATTCATTTATGAGCAATGCAACTCCGTTGTGCCAAGGGACTTCTTAATGATCTTCCAGTGAAGCTGGGTGGCTTTGAACACACCAATTGTGAGGAATATCACTCCAAGCCTCAATTTCCCAGGTGAAGCTGCACAAGTCAACTCCGGCAAGCAAAAAAAGGTATAAGCCAAGCAAAGTCAAAGCAACTCAAGCAAAGTCAGTGCATCCGCATGGCACTATGTTGATTCAGAGAAGACACTGGCCAGGAAAAGTCAATCCACAGAGTAACATCTGGAACACAACATGGTCACCAAGATGCGGAACATGGGTTGGCAAGTTGGCAAGGGTGTTTTTCTTAGCCCGTTTCTACTTAATTACGTACGTAGGCGCCTGCTCAATTAAGCAAGGGAAGTGCGCTCCTAGCTACTTAAGATACTACATATGGACACAGGATAGCTCACGCTTCTTCAAGGAAGCTCCCTTCACCTGAGGGCACGGGGAGCTTCCTTGAAGAAGCGCTCGCACGAATGATTTGGTTCCTAGATACTTAGGGAAACTAAAGAGTGGCTGGTAAAGAACCTACATTCCCTGTGCATACTCAGTGTTGCATCGACTCACGCGAGGCATGGACTTTGAAGACTAGTATATAACAACGAACAATAGAGGCATCAATCGCGAGCAGAAGGAAAGAAGGAGTAAAACCGACTGCTTCGATCATGAGAAACGGGAACAGCTAAGGGAAGTTACAATAAGCAGTACGCTAATCTCTGCTGCAGGGTTGCCATTTGAAGATGTACAGAATAATTCCATGTGGTGTATTCGGCATCCAGCTCCCGTTGCGCCACATTTTGGAATGTGGATAGCCTGCAAGCTTGCCGCGGCAGGTCTAGAAGCTGTCAAAGTAATTACTAGCAGGAGCTTTGCACCTAACTCACAATCCTACTACTACGGCGTAACCTGCCTGCTTCACCGATATAGATGAGCACTACTGCCAGTGGCATACCAATATTCATAGGCACAGCTGCCCCCAAGTAGTATGCAGCGTCCCACCTCAAGCTGCGAAGGGTTGAGACCAAATACATATCGTAAGAGCAAGACTGAGCACATGATAGCACATGCATCACATCGAAGCATCTTCCCCCTTGTTTTGCGCGGCCTTTGCCAGTGGGACAGATCACCGGTTCGAGCTTTGCATCGCCACCAGCCGTACTGGAAAATATTTGTAACCTTGGGTTGCACATCAGGGCCAAACTCGTTCAAGCAGAATGCACTCATGTGAATATGACCACAGGAGGGTAGCTGGACTCCAAAAGTAATACAGTATTTGTTGAGATCCTTCAACAAAACTTTTCTGCAACACAATTGTGCCTCGAGAAACATGGTGAAACATTTTTGCGGACCAGATTGGCTGTTGTCTGCTGGCAGTCGGACTAAGGTGAGGACCATGATACTTGTCAATGTCAACTCCAGGGCGTAGAAAAGATGCTCGACATGGGTGCCTAGTCTGCCGGTTTACTCCAAATTAAGCCTTACCTCTCGCGAGATAGTGTTGTCTACACAACATAGATATCTCTATTAAACGATAAAGCAACAAGAGATAACAAGAGCAGTAAAAACAATTTCTTGCATAAGGAGTCAAACGAGGCATTCGCTCAGAGCGCGCATCCATGGAACCCAAGCCTAAGCCTTTTTGAGACTACATATATGTGTAGAGTCACATACTATGCATATACATAAATAGATAGATAGAGAATGATAAATACTTATTATGTGCTTGATTATATACGAGTGAGATAGGGGGTAAGCCGTGAAACCCGGCCGTGAAGGGTCAAGAAGATGCTAGTAAGCTAGTACGTAGCCATTCTATAAGTAGGCCGCTACTAGCTGAGACGCAGAAGAACCGTTCTCATGATTGGTTCAATTTGGTTCCTAGTCTTTTGGGGAAACTTGGCCTTCTATGAGAACTCTGTGGCACATCGATCAATGCGCCCCTCTGCGTCTGAGGATCCAATTTGGTACCAAGCAATCTGCATAAACCAGCCAACGATCAAAGGCCAACATCAGGTACCTTGGATGTACAGTAATTATTGCTTTCTCTGAGCTCGACAGCAGTTTTGGGACGAATCGAAGACTTCTGTGAAATGAAAGGTAACAGCTTTTTGTTCAGATTGAGTGGCCGGCAGTGGTTCTTTGCACCTATTCGACCTGCACTTTTAGGGTTACTCCGAAAGGCTTTGAGTAAGCGCTAGCTGGAGTGAAGCAACACCAGGATTTGATAAGGTCAGCATGTGGCCTTAGCATATCAACCCAGCCGAGGTACCCACCAGGGTGGGAATGGAGAGGACCAGCCTGAGGAAATCTCAAAGAGCCATTCGTGATCTACATGCGCATGAGAACCCATGTACAGTACATCATACTATGCAACAACTCACATGTATAATATAACATTGGATAACTATATCTAGTATAAGAGTATATATGCGCATTTCGACCGTCAAATGCATTGTGCATCCACTGAGGGAACTTGGAGGGACAGGAATGAGGAAAGAGCCGAAACAGGTGTGTGCCAATAAACAATTGATCGCTGAAGACTGCAGTGTAGCGACGAGAATACTGCTGCGCAAATTCCTCTCTTTTCCACCACGTCGGTGGGGGCATCAGCGTCACCCTCTAGGGGTGGAGGTGCTCCTCAGCCACCTCACAACATGCAATACAGCACGAAGCAGTGAATGTTTGGATTCGGCAGGCTGCAAAAGCAACACCAACCGAGAAGCGGTTTAATCAAAAGCAAAGACGAAGATTTGACAAAAGCACCTTTGAAAGGGCCAAACCATGACAAGATCACCAATCGCAAAGCGATGGATTGCCCTGCCTATTTCGATCTTCTGAGTCATGGCGTTGATCACCAAGTCTAGAAGTCAAAAACTTTTGAGCCGATCTGCAAAAATAAGACACGATTCTTGATTCTTAACCAAACAAGTCTTGCAGACTGTGTGCAGTGTCATTATATAGACTTCAGCATTCATGTGTTTTCTGACGTATCTCCTATTGATGGTTTCTGGGAATCTCCAAATCGACAGAAAAACCTTCGGTTGACTTTGCCCCTATCGTGATCGCAAAAGAGCTGATGGATCTTACGCATTCTGACGTGAAGCGTGTAAAGCAAACAGCAACCTCAAAGAATACATGATACTGACGAATACCTCAACAAAAATATGTCAGTCTATATCATGTCCTCGTAAATCCTAATACTGTATTGGCCTGGGAAGGATGTGACGGTTTCATGGTGCAACTCTGCATCTGCGTGATGAGGCTCTGGCCTCCCTTTCTATGTTTGCGCTTGCAAGCTTGGACAGAGTCGCCTCACACAACTTTGCACTTGCCCCTCCTCCAAACCCTGTAGAGAGATAAACGGAGTTTGCCTGCAATACCAGTTACTGAAGACAGGTGTTTGTATGCGAATACAGTTGCAGTATCTACAAAAGTATTTGTTGCAATATCTATCTATCTATCTATCTATCTATCTATCTATCTATCTATCTATCTATCTATCTATCTATCTATCTATCTATATATACACACAAGCTATACCAGGGGGTCAAAACCTTCTCACAACAATACTGTGCAACATGACCAGCTGACGTGCTCCCAGACCTTCTGCCGCTGCAAACGACCCAATGGTCGCCAAAGAACCCATGTGCGCCGCAGCAAGTGTCTGGCCTCTGCCTGGCATCACCAAATGCACCAAGCCTTCCAAGCCTAGAGATTTTGTGCAAAATATTCTTCCGAAAATTTGCAGTATGTCTTGCGTTTCTAGGTATTTTCCGAGCCGGTAAGATCGCGAAGACCAGGAGGCAGGAGAGGTAGGCACTGGTAGGCAGCTAGTAATCGCAAGGAAACTACTTGAAGCTAGGAATATAGTAGTACAAAAAAATTCAGTTTATTTACACACGAACAGTTGTAACCCAGTGGTTCATAGATTAAACAAAACCAAAAAAAGGGTTCGGATGCGGCTCGGGTTCTTAAAAAATTTCGAGTTTTTGGGCTGAAACAAACACATATTTAAACCGTACACAGCTACAAAGTACAGATAATTTCGACCTTTCATATCCTTTCATTGACAATTCATGATTCACTCCTTTTGTTCTTCCTGTTCAGGGCAGTGACCTTTGACTGCTTAACCAACTGTGTACGCTGCATAAAAACTACAAATCACCTCTGATACTAGTGATTCCGAAGTAATTGCCCAGAATTATCGTAAAAGTAAAGCAACCACCCAAAATCACCCAAACAGGCCAAGCACCACTGCCCAGGTGGGCTGCAACACTTTGCAAACACTTTGACGGCTGTGCACCTTTGCAAGAGGCGAAATCTGTTCCAAATATGTGAACAACTTATCTTGCATGCTGACAGCTCGAATGGAAGTACTCCAAGGTAAGAATCATTCGTAATAAGCAGGTCTTCCCCTGAAGTTCAACCTCTCTCACCACGCCTCTCGGCGCCAAGCTATCAAGCACCTCAGTGTCCGAACGCCGGGAACCACGGGAACCACTAAAGAAGTGCATTATCCGCCGACCCCTGCCTAGCTGACGCCTAGGCGGGGCGGCGCCGGGGACACCGCAGGCCAAGCAGATCCAGAGCGTTTCGTCGTGGTGCCGCTGCTTTTTTCTGCCCAAGCAGATCCAGAGTGTGTCGACGGCGCCGTTTCTAGGTGTGGCCGTCGGTTGCATTCTGCTATATAGGCACACCTCAGCTGCCAGGCAACTGGGACAGGCAACTAGGCATCGAAAGAGACATGCCCGGCAACGTGCCAGGCGATGTTAGGGATTTGGGTGGCTGCGGCTCGCCCCTTTTTGGTGTGGAAATAGGTGGTGTCGTTTGCCCGGGCGGAAACCTTCTGCATCAAGGCGACGGCTGCGGCCGATGGTGGCAAGCTGTGGCGAAGGAAATTGCCAGGAGCCGCCTTGGGAGTGAGCCTCTGGCACGTGGCAGGCAACTGTTTTATGGGCCCCCGAAGTGGGCCCCGGCGACGTGCCAGGCGACATTAGGCATTTTGGCTGGCTGCGGCTTTTGGTGTGGAATTAGATGGTGGAAAGCTGTGGCGAAGGAAATTGCCGGGAGCCTTGGGAGTGAGCCTCTGGCACGTGCCAGGCAACTGTTTTATAGGCTCCCAAGGCAAAGGAAATTGCCGGGAGTCTGGCACGTGCCAGGCAACGTTTGCTCGCCCGGAAACCCTCCGCTGCTGCGGCTGCATTCTGCCTTATACGCACACCTCAGCTGCCAGGCAACTGGGCATGGAAAGCGACGCGCCAGGCAGCTGCTTTATGGGCTCCCGAAGGCGACGCGCCAGCCACGGTAGGCATTCTCGCTCGTTGCGGCTCGCTTCTACCTTACTCACTGCAGGCCCTTCCTGAAAAAAGGGGTCGGCGGCACCAGGGCGAAGCGAAAACCGGGGGACCCCGTCGTCACTTCCGGGTCACTGATGCCCCTGTAATTTACAGTGTATTATGTGTGTGAGGTATGAAAAAACACTGTGTTTACAGTGTTTATTGCGCATATCGAAGTGCGACGCGGCGAAGATGGAGAAATGCAAAAACAACAACGCTGTGTTTTTCAAGGGTGGTGTCGGTAATGCGCGCCGGGCGGACAAGCATAATCGACATTTTGTGGGTAGAGGCCCTCCAGACGAATTAAATTGCCTAACATATCCTCAACATAGGCCTAAGATAGCCAACATATCCCCAACATATGCCCAACATAGCCTCCAAGATGGCTCAACATAGCGCCAACATAGGCCAACATGGGGCCAACATACGCCAACATAGGCCCAACATAGGCCCAACCTAGGCCAACATAGGCCAACATAGGCCTAACATAGGCCAACACAGGCTCAACGTGGGCCCAAGATGTGCCCTACACAGACCCTAGTGTGCCGGCGCCCGGCTGTTAGGCGTAAGCCTTGAAATCCGGGCGCCGGCCGGGCCAGCCCGTGTTGCGCCCGGAGGGCAATGGGCATCTAACCGAAGGTTAACAAACGACGCCCCCTGCCGCCGACCACCTCCGGTTCACCCCTGACCCACCCCGCGTTCACCTCCCACCATGTAATTTACAGTGTTTCGTGTGTGTGTGAAGTATAAAACACTGTGCTTTACAGGTTTATTGCGCATACTGAAGTGCGACGCGGCGTCGAAGGAGAAATGCAAACATGCTGTGTTTATCAAGGGTGGTGTCGGCAATGCGCGCCGCGCGGACAGGATTAATCGACATTTCGTGGGTGTCGGGCACGGTCTAAGCGCCAAGGCGGAAAAGGGAGGCCCTCCAGATGACCCACCATATGTGCCAGATATGGCACACATAGCCGCAAGATGACCCCACATCGGTCCCAGATATGGGAAACATAGCCCGCCCTAAATGAACAGCCTCAAGATGTGGCAACATAGGCCCCAGTCTCAAAGAGAGAGAGAGAGAGAGACACACAGAGAGACAGAGACACAGACAGACAGCCAGCCAGCCAGCCAGACAGACAGACAAACAGAAAGATAGAAAAAAAGAAAGAAAGAAAGAAAGAAAGAAAGAAAGGAAGGAAGGAAGAAAGGAAGGAAGGAAGGAAGGAAGGAAGAACGAACGAACGAACGAACGAACGACAGAGAGAGAGAGAGAGAGAGAAACAGACGGGGAGAGGGCGACAGACACAAAAGGAGAGAGAGAGAGAGGGCAAGAGAGGGAGAAAGACGTGGCGGGAAAGAGACCCTAGGCAAGCCAACGAGAAAGAGAAAGAGAGAGAGAGCGACGGCTCTCCCGATCTTCGGTGTCTCTTACATACACCTGGGCGGTCAGCCCCCTTCCACATTGAAGGATGTTGCCGGGATGCCCGACGTCCCGACCCCCGTCGCCTCATGTCTTTTGCCTCTATCTCCTCTACCGTCCTACTTTTGCCCTGTGTTGGGCCGGCGCCCGGCTGTCAGGCGTAAGCCTTAAAATTCTGTGCAAAAAGCATCCAGAAGCTCCCTCTCTTGTCATGACATGGGTATTTGCTTAGCTTCACATGTCAAGGGTTTAGTCTGTAGAATCGAAGGTTGACACATGCATCTTCGTGCTTCTTGTGCACACCATCCCTAGGATTAAAAACAAGGGAGCAGGATGAGTGTGACTACTCAAAGGCTTCTACGATTGCTGCTACAGCTGCTACCATCTAATATTCGCCAGTTTCGACTTGTGGAGAAGAAGCTGCGTTGAAGCATCAGAAGTCGTGTGCTCAAATGTGCCAAGGTTGGTGCAAATGTGCCAAGGTCTTCTCAGCGCGTGCTACAAGAAAAGCAGGTACTGAAGGCACCTGCAATGCTCGGAAATGTAAAAGGATGACTTGGCAAAGACATGTGTGTATCTGTTGCGGAGACTACAGTATCTCGGAGTCTCGTGTTTTTATGGTTGGGGGGGGCATTCTCACTCGTGGTCCTCGAGTGGCCAATAAGTTCTGGCAAAGCATCTTGCTTCGCCGGACACATACAACTGAACAGGACGATATGGATTACAAATTGAAACTATTTGGAACCATCTCAGGCAAAATCACCTTTGCGGTTTACGCCAGGCCAAGCCCCTCTCAACGGCAGCATGTCCATTCCATGCCCATTCACACAAATCAACTCTGCTTCAACATTGCATTTTTTCGAAGTATATAGTTATATTCTGTATAAGTATCCAATGAGTGCAGAAAGGAATTTTTGCCTAGGCCTAGGTCTCCAACAGAGGTTGACATGCAGCCATGACGAAAACACAATTGTGTCAGCCCGCTGACTTTATCTTTGGCCAGCAGGACCTTTTTGTGCACGGGGCAGCTTGCATCAAATTTCACAGGTACGAATCTCACGCTTGGTACCAGTCTTTGTGTTCTTCTGGGTCATTTTGTTCAGGTCCACCTGCATGTGTGGTGCAAAGCTTAGATTAGAAGCAGCTACATGCTGCAACAATCCCCTCTCTTGACAGCATCAAACCTTGCCAGAAATTCAGAAAGGCAAAACAATTTGCACGGCCAAGGTTGCTGCCCTGGCGGCCCTGGCTATTGCAGCTGAGACACTTCGTACGGCTGCCCCCTGTAAGCAGGCCATGCAAACATGGCATGTGGATATGTAAGAGAATACAGAATACATGTCAACTTGAGCTTGGGCATAGTGCAATGCTATTCCCTGGAGCGTTCCAGGGACCCCTTGCCTGATCACGCACGTCACCACCGTCAGCCCAGCAGCTTTGGCATCTTTAACAACTGTATCAACTTCTGGCGGGAAGTCCCACCAACCACCTGACCATTTTGACACAGTTCAAAATCAATGCAATATCTAATAATTATCTACTATCTATATCTGAATCTTTCTCGCACTTCTTGTGTGAAAGCGCGCCAGAGATCGAACATCAGACACAAACCCAAAGCTTTTTTTTGCTAAAGAAATACATCCAATGCTTTTGAAATTTGGCTGCATTTTGCCCGGTCAGTTTTAAAGGCCAAGAGAGCCTTGTGGGCCTTGTACATGCGTGTGTTCCGCATTCCCCGCCTTTTCCATTTGAGACCTGCCACTTGTACGGCTTGGACTCTTCCGCACCACCCTCGCCGAAGGAGGTCACGGACACCTGGCGTCTTCAGTAAGAAAGGAACAAACATTGCCTTCCTATTGCTAGCTGCTAGCGCACGCGAGGCAACCAAAGCATGCATTGCATTGTTGCTTGATGTTGATTGATCTTGATGGACTCTTCTATTCAAGTTCAAACTACTTCCCCCATAGGCCCAATATGGACTTATATGAGAAATGAACAGGAAGGCCTCTTGTATCTTGCGGGAGGTACCACTCTTCAAGTTCGTCTGGGTCATCTCCTGACCAGCATAGTCACAAGCCTAACTGACAACCGAACCGGATGAGACATGCAATGCATAAGCTGAATGAAAATGCAACAGCAGCTTCTATAGCTACTGCTTGCAATGGCTTGATGAAAGCATGCGACAGCAAAACAAATTCTATATTATATATATGGAATTCGACTTCGGCGCGAGTCTGGCCTTGAGGTCAATTTCATATGGGAAGCCGCGAGCGCGGAAATGTAGTACCGTCTCGCCTGAACAAAAATATGGATCTGCAGCTGTACTCTGGTCGGATTAAAAAACAAGTGAAGCAATAGAGAAAGGCAGTATGGTTGAAAAAGACGCAGGGGATTCATCACAGGGACACGTCGTAAGAATGGTTGTTTCAAACGTCTTGTCATTTTGACGGTTGGAGGGTAACAACACCCTCATCAATCTTTGTCTGTAGACGCATCAGAAGGCGCAATCATACTAAATACCAAGCACGCTTGATAGCTGTCCAGGCTTCAAAGTATATACATATGCTTCAAAGGTCGCAAATCTGATGCGGTTGTGATTAGTTGCAATTGCGTTATTTTTCACTTGCCTTTGGACACAGCCGTGCGTAGGGCTAGCTGTTGCTCTGCAGCCATATCTGTCCAATCACCTCAAGAGTTTTTGCTGCCAGGAGGCAGTTTAGCTAGCCATCGATGCTGCATATTCAGTAGAATGTTGATCAAGTTCATCAAGCTATGCATGTGAGAATGTGCCATGCTGGCGCCCTTTGGTGGCTGTTCGCAGCTAACAGGGGCGCGAGCATTGCCACCTACCACCCCCAGTTCTGCCAGGAAGCCACCATCGTTCATCTGCACTTGCCACTTTGTTATGTTGGCAGACACAGCCTGCAACCTGGTAAACCACCAGCGCCCAAAGCACACAGAAAACGACCAACTTGGATCATTGGGTCCACAAAAAGTTCCAACCTACAATCAAACTTCCCAAAACAAAGTTATGGTTTCTCTTTGTTTCGGGAAACAGAAGTCCATATAAATAGAGTCAGAGTCATTTAATGTCGATCGGAAGTCCACGAGTTGACATGCCAGGAAACACATAGGATAAAGCCGCAAGGACTTTTACGTCATCCTGCTTCCTCTCCCAAACTAGGCTAGCAGCTTCCTGAAAACGATCAACGGAAGGGTGGACAGGACAAGTGATACAAGTGACACAAGTGACAAGCGAGAAAAAGATCCGGAATGTTCCGAGCTTTAGCCTCTCAGTACAGTATTGTGTGCCCGGGGCTGCTGTAGGAATAGGAACGATTCGGGAGTGAATATTTTGAAAGGCAAAGGTGTGGCAAAAGTAGCAGTTTTCATTTAAAATGGCTCCTGAAAGCGAGGGCCTTTCAACTTTGGTACGCTGACGGATTTTTCTGCCTGCACCTGAGCCAAGTGGGCAACGTGGGCAATAAATATGAATAGAGCAAGCGTCTCTTGCAGCTGACATGGCCCTTGCTTTCTGAGCTCTATTTCAGCTAGGCAACAAGGTTAGCCAGCAAGAAGGTTCCTCAGGCCGTGATGTGATCTTGTCCAACATGTCACCGCAGCGTTTCATCATTATACACATGTTATTCCAATCTGGACATGCAAGGCTCCGTAGTCCATGAGCTCATGAGCTAATTGGTCTCTGCCCTCAGGCGAATACTTTTCAGCCTGTCGCACGCAACAAGTCTGTCTTGAATCGTCTCCGCTGGCCCAAGCCAGTTGGAATTATATCAATCGTCAACTATAGATGGTTGTACCTGTACATCAAATATTGAATCCCTTAGCAAACATTTTGAACTAATAACACTCCAGCTGCTTCTTGGACTGAAGTATCTCTTGCATATTCACATGTGAACAGCCTGAAAGTTTCGGCACACCAACTTAAATCCTTGCGGTATAAGCTCTTCTGCAAGACTCATCCTTCGGCTGCCTTCAACCTTTTTGGCACGATGGTAACCAGTTGCTCCACCACCATCTCCGCAGCATCTGTCTTCGCCACGGTGCTCAACTCTGCCATGTGACATTTGGCAAGGGCAAGCAGCTGCGCATTGGAGCTTTGAGGCAGGGCTCGAGCCTTAGAGAGACGAGCTCGAGCGTGGCTCAACAAGGCTCAGCAAGTGGAGCTCAGCCCTTTCACTTTTCTTACTTCAGTGTCTGTCTGCTAACTTGCAATACAATTCTCTGTGACTCCTCCTCTGGCTTCATGGCGATACCTCCATGAAAGTAAAGTTGCATTGGCGACAATCTTCGACAAATTCTCCTGTGACTTGACCATGTAAAGCATTAAACAAATACTATATGTGCGGCGGCATTTATATGGTACTAAACTCAAATACATGATCTACTATGTGGGGGCCCTATCTCGTTTAGACTACTTAAGCAGGAGGTCATGTCACAGTATCTCGTTCAGACTACTTTAGTAGCGAATAACACTATCCCGTTCAGACTACTTTAGTGTCATCAAACAAAAGTATTTCGTTTATGTGGGGGCCCTATCTCGTTCGCAAGCGAATACTGATGATAGACGAGCAAATAGAGCATGCTGTAGACTACTTTAGTAAAGCCTAAATAAAAGTGGTTGCTCATATCAAATTGTTAGTCACCAAATCCAATGATGCACAATGGCCATTTGGGCAAATGAGAGACGCACAAAGCCGCTAAACAACAGGCATGCTCTCTCTGTCCTCTGTAGGCTCCAAATCTCTCAGCTGTTTCCATTTCTCTGGGTCACGGTTCCACATATCCATGGTCTTGGCCAAATACCTGGAGTGAACATGAGTCGTCCACATATTTCAAAGGCCGCTCTGCCCTCCAATCTACTAGCGACGGCCTTCAACCTAATAGCGATGCCCTCCAACCTACTTGGGCACTCCAAACATCTCTGGAATAAATCTCTGGAATAAACCAGTCACCAACAAGTCAACTTGATGACTAATGATGCCTTGCAAGTCTAAAGCTGTCCAAAATAAAGGTTGCAATGCTCGGCGGAATTTTGTCGAGGTGCTTATCCACTGTGACAAGGCATGCAGGCATTGGGTCTCCCTGACCACCCTCCGAAGCAATATACATTTCCTGCCGGGCGCAAGCATACTTCAACCCCGTTTGTTACCCTCCATCTGACAATCTAGTCGTGGAAGTGGAACATCCCACATTGATGATCGTTGATGTCAACTGGCCTTCAGTAAGCCTCCCTTTGTCGGTGGCTGTGGCAGTGCTTTGTTTGCAGCGGTTGATTCTCAAGGGGTCGGTGGTGCTAGAGTGAAGCGGCCCCTCACTCTGCACTTAGCAGGTAGCCTTAGGCATCCTTGGCGCTTCTGCCGATTATGCGCCATGGATGTCGACCTTTAGGCCATTTTCTTTTCCTTGGCCCAGGGTGATCTTCTTCACAACCTTCAGGTCTGTGCACTGGCATTGGCACTGCTATAGGGCCTGCTTTGCACACATGGAAGGGAAGAGATGGACGATGTGCCAAGATATGGTTGCGCAGGTGGCATCCAAAGCATTGTGGGAGAACATTTGCTGTTTGCGTGTTGCAACTGCATTGAGGTTTTCTAGTGCGTTGGGGCAGAAATGCGGCGCACACTGCTTGGCTTGGAACACATGTGGATTGCTTGTAGGCTGGTGATGTCGCACCACGCGTTGGCAATCTGCAGGGTGGCTCTTGCTGGTATTCCGCTAGTGAGGCAAAAAGACACCGATCGGCATGTAGGTGAAGGTTTTATGGCGAGACAATGGGTTTGCCACTGGAGCTTCTGGCTTTTCCCGAAGGCATTGCGAAGGGTTCTTCCGGAAAATCTCTTGAACACTGACACTTCTACACTTACACTTGAACACTGACACTGCTACACTTACACTTGAACACTGACACTTCTACACTTACACTTGAACACTTACACTTCTATACTCACAATGGCACAGATGTATCCAAGTGAAAGTTTGTAAGTGAAAGTATGCAAGTGTCAGTATCCCAGTCAGTGTAAGTGTAAGAGTGAAAGCATCCAAGTGCAAGTATGCAAGTGTAAGTATCCCAGTGCAATATCCCAGTGCAAGTATGCAAGTGAAAATTTTCACGGGAGATATCCTAATGAAAAACATTTCACCTCTTTACTCTTTAAAGGCGGAGGGTGGGACGAACAGCGTCA